ATATGCTTATCTCTTAGTCAATGTAAAGTTCAATTTTGACCATTATTGCTTATCTTTATTGTAGATGGCATCATTGGCAACTTACTTTGGTCTTGGGGAGCAAAAGCACAGGTTAGATTGAAACACTTAAAAAATATGGTCTAAAAATTATCAATTTTTGATGAAATTGGATCCTAATTTGAATTGTATGGCAGGAGCTTAGACGATGTTCGGATGAATTTGGAAGTCCTAAAACATTGTGCAACAGTTCTATTTCTTGTAAGTTCATAGCTTATTGGAGTATTATCTTAGCGGAACTTTGCAATTTGATCTTTATTTGATTATATATTTTGGTTTAATGTGATTCTTTTCTATTGATTAGGAATCAAGTCTACCAGATTTGTCCAATAAGAATTGGCAAGGCACATCCAACATTACTACGAGAAGTAGAAGCCAAGTGGTATGCATGTATTTTTGATAAGATAAGATAGTTTATATATGTTGGATTAATTTTGACTAGTTCTTGAACTACAATTTATTGATATAAATTTATTTTCAGCAAAATCTTTCAAGTTTTTCGATTGATAGGTGGCAAAATCCTTCCTCAATTACAACTAGGAGTAGTAGTAGCAGAGGGAAATTACCCTGCAGAGAAGAAACAAGCCGGAAATCGCCTCCATCGACAACTCTTGGATATCAAAGAGCTGTTCCTTATGCAAGGCAAAGCTTGGGAAAGGTTGTATTTGTATTAACTCTAAATTTAAATACTTATGTGCATGATTGGTATTCATTTCTGACATTTGGAATATTTGGAATATATAGATGACTGCAGGTGTGAGGAATTTCTTATGTAAAGCTCAAAACAAACCTCTAAACAATTTATTAAAGCATTCACAGACACTTTTCCGATGAACAAGAAGAACAGATCCTGCTCATTTTAAAGAGCTTTGATTATTGGAACACCGTAACATCATCAAATGTTCAATTATTTTGTATATGTTTGAAAATATTCAAGACACAAAATTCAAGCATATGGTGCATAACTGTGCCTGTTTCTGTGAAGTTGATTAAAACTTTGGAAGCTAAGAAGATTACATCAAATTGTCCAGTTTCTAATTTAACTTTCTAACTAATTTGTATTCTTTTGTTACTGATTCTTTCGTTCTTTCAGTTGTGGACTTATGTAAATCTTTGTACATCACAATAAATAAATTCCAGATGATATTCTTTGATTCTACACACTTATGTTTTCTTCCCCTTATTTTTCTCAGTTATGGAAATAGTTCAGTTACGTTTTTCTGGAAGATATCATTCATAAAATATTGTCGCTCTTCTATATAGGATTGTTATTTCTATAACATGCTGTACGTAGTTGTAAAAGCTTTCGATCAGTTTGAATTATGGAAACAATCTCTCCAACGAGCCGATGTAAGGCTGTCTTATTGGCGGATTGGAGCTCATAGCGCGTTTTAGTTATTGACTTTGTAATTTAATATTTATACATATTTAATGAATTTTCTAATATAAATACAAGGTTTAAGAAAAATCTATTGGGTTCGTTCGAACCCGTAGCTAATGTTGTAGCTCCGCCATGTCTATATTTGCTTTCTCCAAAGCCGGCAATGTATGCGAAAATTACTCACATATATTACATTCATACTGCAACAAACATATATGTTACAACATAATAACGTTCAATTCAAGCCAGCTGATTGAAATCCAGTAGCTCTTCAAGTTTTTTTTCCCCTACCATATATCATTCTTTCAGTGATAGGGAGCAACAATATAATAGTATTAGCTCCTTTTATTATTGTTCCCTTGAATATACATACTGAAGAAGTTTAGCACTATAGCACTGAGGTTAGCTAGGCCTCAAATTAACAAGCATCAAATTAAACCACAGTCAAAGATGAAGCATGCATGTTCTTGCTAGTAAAACATGCTTCAATGGCTTCTCCAATGGTCAAAAAGACCCTCCCTTCAATTTTCTTCACAAATTTGGCTAACCTCAATTTGTGGATCACATGCCACCTTGGGTTCGCTAGTGCCAACTGCAAAAACCAAACATAAACAGTAATTCATGTGTACGTTCAACAACTAGGTTCAATAAGAGAATCCTAATTAATTTGTTATTTTTTCGTTTGTTATTAAGGAATTAGACATAATTGAAGCGGATTACTCACCTTCATTCCATTTGATTCCAGCTCACTGTGCAGTTCCTCTAGAGAAGCTATACTGGTTGTGTCAATGTTGAGCAAATCTACATCCATCAATTCAATATAAACTAATAGCAAAGTCATAGTTTTTTTCGAAAAACTATATATATCTAAATGTGCCGTGATAAATAAAACTAAACAAGTAAAAATTATGTGCCAATTGTACCTCGTTGATTAAAAAATGAAGTGCTAATGGTTTATAGCTAAATGACCCTCCCACCTAATAGTTGAGTGACTATTACTCAAATGGTCACTCAACTATCCCAAATTATCTCCTAAAGTCACTTTTTTTTGTTTGTAACAACAAAGTCACTGAACTATGCCTATTGCACTCAGAAGGTCACTCAACTAGATTTTTCAAATTTTGGATTTCCAAATACCTATTTTACCATCTAAATTATAAAGATTTATCTTTTTTTTTTTTAAATTGATATTATTATTTTTCCCTTTTTAATTTAAATTATCGACTTACCTATAGAATAAATAAATATTATTTATAAATTACAAAAAGTATTTAAGCATATATAATGCTGGAATAACAAAATAATGAGCATAGTAAAAAAATTAATTAGAATACTTTGTTAGTAATAATAATTTTGGTATTAACAACAAAAATTCAAAAATTTATTTACACAATTCAGAATGAAAGAAAATAAAGGTTG